GCACGAGATACCATGATATTATATTTACAGCTGTGATTATTACTATGTTGATTAGAGTTATCGAATCTTTGTGGCATGATTATATTTATGTGATATGCTCATCATTGTTGCACCCCGGTGTTAATACTCACCCTCGGTCAGGGCTAATCCTTCATGTGTATGTTCACATCCGCACCATTCGCTCGCCTTGGATCCAAGTAGGTGCTAGTCCTATCGTACAGATTGCATTAGGAAATTTTGACTTGTATGTGGCCGTGTTTCAGCGTCAACCTTCACGTGATCGTAGTACTAGAGCGCATTGATTACACCCAGTTTTGTCGTACAAGTCGCATTAGGTGATTCCGACTCGTGTGCTAGCATAGATTGATGAGCAATCAGTTCAATTGTACAAATTGCGTTAGGCAACTCCGACTTGTGTGCTAGTAGATTGTTAAGCATTCTTTATGTTATGTTTACATATTGCGAGATTATGTGATTACGATCACCTTGTGCTTACTTACGATAGCTGTATTTTATGATTTTCTTGAGACTTTGCAGGCTACGGTAAGTATTTTCTTATTATACGTAGTACGAATATTTTGGAAACTATACTTGATTTTACGGCAAAAGGTTATATCGTTTTTGAAAAGGTTTTTACAAAACACTATTTTTTGACCCACTTAATTTTGTTTTTCGCCCCTCCAAGTTTAGTAGCTATGCTTACGTGTCAGCGAGGACTCTGGAAAAATCGTTGTAGATGGTTATCTTCAATGGTATAACCTTCCCCCTACTTTACTGTACTGTTCTTATGCTCTGACATCACGTGTGAATTGGGTTAAATCCCGCTCACCCACACACTCTTATGATTAGGCACTTTTAGGTTTTAATTTATTCACATTCTTTTTCCACTACACTACACTTTATGGCTTTGTCACTCTCCAGGTGTCGGCCAACACAACTCGATTCGAAGTCCAAGTGGACATTTCAGGTCGGGGCGTGTTCATAAAAAATGGTTGAGAAATAAGCAAGTTATGAAGCTTTGAAATTTTACCCAGAAACCAACAAAAATTTCCAAATTTAGGCGAAACAAGACGACGGAATATTTTGTCAAAGTTGATGGAATATTCTAATGGCGTCAGGTAACACCGTTAACTTCCATTAGTTATTTAACGGAATATTCTTGACGAACGTCAAGGTTTGGCCTGCGCATGGTGGCGCGTATGGCCATGCCCTAGTTGGCTCATCTGGCCTCCAATTAGCTTTCTGTCAATTTGTGTAGGTCCGTGACATCAAGTAGATCGAGTTCATATATTCAAACCCTATGTTTGAGCAATCTATGGAGGTTTTATTTAAGTTTCCATTTATGTGTTATTAAACTAAGTTAATTAGTAATTTCACATATAAGGGAAATGTATCCCAAGGATGTACGGGGTCAAGCAAGGCTTGGAGGCTTCATTTCGACTGCATAATTGTGAGCTAGTCATTTCTTTTTATAAGTATATGCATACTTGCTAGTTTCTAGTTATACCTTGAAAAGAATTTACTACGTATGCCTTGCTTAGACTTAAATTACATGAAGTAGTGAAATGACTGAACCTAGGGAATTATTCTACGTCCTATAGGTTCACAAGTATGCACGAGATACCATGATATTATATTTAGAGCTATGATAATTACTATGTTGATTAGAGTTATCGAATCTTTGTGGCACGATTTTACTTATGTAATCTGCTCATCATTGCTACACCCCGATGTTAGTAATTCGCCCAAGGTCAGGGCCATCCTTTCACGTGTATGTTCACATCCGTACCGTTCACTCGCATTGTGACACACCCCGATCGAGATCAGGGCATTCTGGCCGTCACGTGGAAGTGACATAACCATGTGCACAGTGCGGAAGCTAATAAATAATAATAATAATAATAATAGTATGAATGATTAAAAACCAGCTTTACACAAGTAATAACAAACATGTGCAAACCTAAGTGTGAACACAAAGTTCAGAGCATGACGACCTAATGCAGTCCGGGAGAAAACAACACTACGAAAGCACACCCGAAGGTGGTCCTACACAGGTGATAATCTGTCAGATATGCCGGGGAATTCCTCAGGGAAACCACCAAACGTGCTAGCCAACTAGAACCTGAAGGGGCGCAAAACAAAAAGTGTGAGTGGGCAAAAACAAAGCTTTTCAAAAACCATTTCATAAACAAGTTCTAACCCCTCGCCGTAAAACCTGTATACTTTCCAGAAAATATAATATACATATATATCAATCATGCTCGGAAAGTATGTTATGCCAAAACCTCAAAGTAAAATGCAAGTGCTCAGGTAATGCCAAATCCAATGCCATGTAATCTATCAGCCGGAGTCACCTAACGTGACCTGTACGCCTGAATCTAGAGCTCAAATCTCCATCTCACTAACTATACCTGTACACGAGTCGGAACCACTTAAAGTGGTCTGTATGACAAGCCTGGGTGTAATATATATATACGCTCAAGTGCTACGATCACGTGAAGGCTGGACGAATAATCGTGGGTCACCTACGAGTCGGAACCACCTAAAGTGGTCTGTACGACAGGACTGTGCACCTAACTTGGATCCAAGATGAGCGTGTGGTGTGGGAGGTGAACATCACGTGAAGGACTGTGCGCAACTCTGGGCGAGAGCACTAACACCGGGGGTGCAGGTTATGAGCTCTCTAAGCATCTCAAATCACTACTGAACGTAAACATAAATCATAACTCACCTGACACTTACCTGTGCGTCCGTAGCACCAAACATATATAAACATATGCGACTCATAATGCGTAAATAAATGACAAACTATAAGCATGGCATATAAACGAATAAACGTTTCATTTCACTTTCTGGGAAAAGTATAAGTATATAGGTATATACGGAAAACCAAAAGCCCACTCACTGGTATGTGGAAGGGTCGTAACCCCCTTGCCTCGAGTGACCACGCTCGTCCTCGGGATAGGTATCACCTATATACGAAACAACTATAAAAACGTTAATTTTAAAGCACATAACCAACCTTAAGAAATAACTTCTCATACAATGCTCAAATGGGGTGTATGAATACACCAACGTGATCTACTCAACCTCAGGAACATCCCCATATTTTTAGAAAAAATTTTCACCGTCGCACGCGCCCCCATGTGCCGGCCACGCGCAGGCACGTGCCTGGCACGTTGACGGCGTCAGTTAACGCCGTTAGGAATATTCCGTTAACGTCGTTAGGAATATTCCGTCCAAATTGATGGAATATTTCGTTGTCTTCTCCGGCGAGGCTCCGGCGCCGTCGCCGGTGCCGAAAAATCGTGAAATCTTTAAAACTTCGTATCTTCTTCGTTTTTCAACCAAATTTCATAAAATTGGTACCAAAATGAAGCTTACAACGAAATGAACAAATTCATACCACTTTCAAGTGCTAAAACACACGGGATCTCGCCGGGAAAACACCACCAACTCTGGCCAACCTCGAAACTCACGATCCCGACGTCCAAAACCTTCAAACGAACCACCCCGAGCCTCCTAAGGACCTCACCAAGATTCCTACAAGCTTGAAATTCCCAAAAACACAAGAATTAATGTGTGCATGAACAGCGACAAAAATCGGGTATCCCGAGTTCGACGTGAAAACGAAGGTATCCTTACCTGAAATGGGTATGGTTGAACTTCTACAGACCTCACGAGCATGGATATGTACTTTGTTCCTTCAATCTGTGAAGATTACAAGGGTTTTGGGGGTATGTCCGTACAAATGGGATAGAAAATAGGGAAGGGAAATGGCACGGGACAGGGTGCAGGGCAGGGAAGGGTGAAGGAAATGTGTGGGGAAATGTGTGTGGTCCACAACCAGCCACACCAAGCTCAAAACAACCACACAACGAAAAAAAAATCACACTAGGGCAAAATCGTCTTTTCACGCGTACGTTTTAAAATTTTTCGGAACGGGCTGTCACACATTGGATCCAAGTTAGGTGTCAGTCTTGTCGTACATATTGCATTAGGCAATTCTGGCTCGTATATGATCGTGCTTCGGTGCCAGACTTCATGTGATTGTAGTACTAGAGCGCATTTATTACACCCAGTCTTGTCGTATAGGATGGATTAGGCAACTCTGACTCGTGTGTCAGCATGTGTCGACGAGCATTTGTTATGTTATGTTTACTTATTACGAGGTTATGTGTGCTTATTTGTGATAGCTGTGCCTTATTAATTTCTTGAGACTTTGCAGGCTACGGTAAGTATTTTCTTACTATATATAATACATATATATTTTGGAAACTATACTTGATTTTATGGCGAGAGGTTATAATGTTCTAAAACGATCATTTACAAAACGTTATTTTTTGATCCACTCAACTTTTTTTTTCACCCCTCCAGGTTTAGTAGGTGGGATTTCGTGTAAACGAGAACTCTAGTAAGACCTCAGTAGATGGTTATCTTTAGTGGTATAACCTTCACCCTAATTATTGTACTGTTCTTATGCTCTGCCATAACATGTGAAATAAGTTCAATCCCACTCACCCGCGCACTCTTTTGATTACGCACTTTTAGGTTTTAAATTTATTCGTATTTTCCCACTACACTACACTTTATGACTTTGTCACCCTCCAGGTGTCGGCCAGCATAATTCGATTTGGAGTCCAAGTGGACATTCCGGGTCAGGGTGTGTCATCTCTATCGTTACTATTCTCAGATGGATGATAGAACATGCCCATGTGGGCATGTCAGCCAGACTAATGAGCTTAACGGAAGAGGATCCTCGCCGGATTGGCGGATCCTCTCACCATAACCGTCCATTTAACACTTACTTCTGCATAACTTCGTTGTCAGTATATCTGTGAGTACATGCCCGTTACGTACTTCTAATAGCAAGAAGCAGCTTAGGAATGGACAGTTATTTCACTTCTGCATGAGCTTTGTGCACTTTGAAATCTTTATTTTGGGTTCATTCTTATAACATCTTTAGAAATATTTCAAAACTTGACTCCCTTTTTCTTAGTCATGATTGCTATTTTCTTTTTAACCAGGTCATGAGAAAAGTTAGGGTGAGCATCTACGAGTATCAGCTGGAAAGCATGTTTGTTCAGCACATGAGGCCGATAATTGTTCAGTTGTATATGGATTTGCTTTTGTTGGACTGTGCTGCTTTAAAGTTCTGGATTGGTGCTATCAGTGAAGATGCCCCCTTGTGCTGCATTCGGGACTTTCTTGATTCAAGTATTATTCACTTGGTTTTCTTATTTTCTTACAAGTTTTCATTTGAAAAAAAAAAATGCTTCATTCATATGCATTCTATGTTGCTACTGAGGTTTACAATTTTTTTACTTTTTGCTTTTTATTTTTCCTCCTCAGGTAATATTTTCCTTTTACTGCATATTGTATCTTCTGTTTGAGAATGCCTCTGTTTTTTTTAACTTGCTGAGAATGCATCTGTCAAAATTTTAAGGGCCTTTCTTTGTTTCATCCAATCATTTTCTTCATTTTCTATGTCCAACTATGAAGCATTTTTTTTTATTGATATAAAGACCTTTTCTTTCTCCAATTATGCCTCTGTTAACTCTTTTTAATTTAAATGCACTCATTTAGCACTCACATTTATCTGATTGAGTAGATGAAAAAGAGGGAAACATGGATTATATATGCACCTTCACTTTGTTTTCTTATACGTCCTACTGTTATGAGATTAAATTTAACAGACATCCATACTAACAGCTTTGGTTTTCAAAATTTGTAGAAACCAGCTGTGATCTGTTGCAGGAAAGATTCAGAAAAGAAAACACCTCTAAATACCGAAGATTATGTCTAACTTTAGCATACTTGAAACTGGTATGCTATGCCATCAGCTGCTTCTAATTTTGTAAACAGTTAATACTATCTTAAAATTGAAATGCCAATGATGCGAAGCTCATGACTGAATTATTATAGGTCTGTAAGATTTATTGAATACTTTTTTTCAAACTGTCTCTTGCAGCAGAATCACCGCCACCAACAGCTATGGTTGCACAGTTCGTCGACGTCCAGTATTCCTCCGAAATTCAACTCTCTCTCTCTTTTTTCTCTCCAACTCAGTGCGTCTCTATTCTTCCAGGTACACCCATATCTATATCCCAAACGACTCTTTATATGTATCTATTTGTTAGAGAGGCTTTTGCCCTTTGGGTTCAATTTTATCTGCTATCTGCATTGGATTTGATGTCTTCTCAGTCCTTATTTTTTTATCCAGCAATGGAGCTTGCATAATCACTTGAGAAATTGGCAAATGAAAGCTGCTTCACTTGCACAGTGTAAAACATTCATTGTTATTGTATGATGTCTTCTTAATATAAGCTGAATAGGTGTAGGTGATTATATTTTGTACCAGTAACATGGGTTGGTTGGTGTTGTGAATTAACAATTATGTGATTGTGAGACAATTGTACGAAGATAAAGTATTGGATTGGTGTTTGGTGTGGGTGCAAGTTGTGCCGGATTAGTGCTTTGGAGCATCATTTTTGAAAAAACATATGGTCAAGTCAGAGAAAAATGTTAGTTATGTGCTTATATACTGTAAGGATGCTTGGGCTGGTATATATATTTCCACATATTGTATTGGTAGCCACAAACATTTGTGTTTTATCCGACAATGTGATGCCATTTTTATCCCAACAGGTTCTGTAAGTGATCTCTGTTTCTGTTATCAAATGTGTGTAGTTTCCTATTTTTTTTCTTCTTTTGGCTGGAAAGTAATGGAGAAGATAAAATTTGAAAGACAGTTGTGGTAATCCTTGAGATAAAAGTAGATGATCCATGTATTACTACATATATTTCAAGGAATTAATGTTGGATGCAAAGAACAATGTTATAGTTTCACTATCATATATCCAAATATTGTAAGTTTGGGACTTAACCTAAGGTGTAGTTAGCAAGACCACTTGCAAGTTATAAATGTTTTTTTTTTTTTTTTTTTTAATTTTTTTTTTGGGAAGCAGTTGAAAAACTTGATATCACCTTTGCATTTGTATGTTATCAATGTAAAGATTATTCTTTTGATCAGTTAGATGTCACAGTTTTTATAATCAATGCTTTGGTTAACTATAAATCCACACACCATTTTCATAAGATTTGTTTTTCTGCCACCATGTTAATTTTGCTCAATGATAATGCCATAATTGGAATATTCTTTTTTATAGAAATGATGTGTTAATCTGAAATTTCAAACTGAACTCTTACATGACTGCTTTTGCACATGCTCCTCTTTTTTGGTTGTTGGGTTTTAATTTTATTTCATTTTTTGGTAAATGCAATTGTTGGTTTTGCAAAGAATTGACTTTTATCTAATTTATAGTTCTCTATGCATGTAGTTTCACCTTTTTTGATCTCGAATATCTGGTTGGCTTTATTTATCAGGCCCAGGGTTGTGATTCTGGATGCTAACATGATTAACCACAGGTTGGTGTTCCTTGGGAACTTGGTGCGGAGAAATTGCTGCATATTATGGGTATATTACTACTACTTTTTTTCTCCTTTCTGTAAATGATACTAGATTTTAACTGAGACCAGATTGTATCAAACAAAAGCATTGTTTTCCAACTGGTATAAAACAAGATTCTTTTCCACCAAAAAAGATTAGGTATACATACTGTATCGTTATTTTCTTTATAGTATAAACCTGTTGAATCAACCATTGAATTGGTTTTGGAGTTTTTGTTTGATCATAGTTTTTTTTTGGGTGAAAGTTTTAATCGGTGAGACTCGGAAGAAAATGGAAGAATTTTCCTTTTGTATGCTCTAAGAATCAGACCCTATGCATTCTTACTGTTTAATGTGAGAGTTTCTATTCTGTTATATTATAATGGAACCAATGCAGGTTTACTTCGACTACATGAGGAGCTTCAGAGTTGAATTTGATGAGTTTTTTGAGGAAGGAATAATATCAGAAATTGAAGTTGGATTAGGTCTCTGTGGAGAGCTACGGTATCCTTCTTATCCTGAACGGCATGGTTGGAAATATCCTGGTATTGGTGAATTCTAGGTACCTTAATAAACGGTGATCCCTTCTTTCGTTAGTGGCATGCATAATAGCCCTTCATTCATCTGTGGTTATGACCTTAAGCCTGTAACTCATTTGATTTTTTACTTCTATCTGAACTTTGAAGTAGTTCTTTGATTCAACCTGATTTTTTGCAACCACATCTTTTGTAATCAAGAACGTTCAATTTTGTCCTGTTAATTGTACTATGTCTTTTCATATCAGTTATGTTGAATGTATATAAAAACCAAGCTGCGTATCTTACCGACCCTTTTCACTCATCTATTCCTTTGTTCATTTATGGTTATGTTTAATTTATTCAGGTTGAATGCGTCTTATTCATGCAGTTAAGGCTAGTGCATTCAAGTCCTGCAGCAATGCGCGGGCATATTTTCTAGTTTTAAACTATAAAAGAGTGAGGTGAGAGGTGAGAGGAGAGAGGAGCAGAAAGAGAGAGAGGGAGAGAGAGAGTGTTCGTAGAGAGGTGAGGAGCAGAGAGGGGGAGGGACGGATTTCTGGATGTGTTCATCTCTCTTGTGCAAAATGGGTTTCCACTGTGAGTCCAAGTTCTCGGTGTTCTTCGAAGCTCAAGGCTGTAGATCTTCTCAGGTTTATTCGTTCTTTTCTCTGGTTGTTTATGTCTATCAGTTTGATTAAATGCCTAAGTGAGAAGATTTTTGGGTTTCGCATAGATTTTCTTGATGTATTAAAATTCAATGCTGTATGTGAGTAGTTAAAGATTGAAACAATATAAGGCCATAGCCTTTCTTTCTGTATCAAAGCTTGAAGATTTGTTGATCTTTCTGGGTTTTACTACATTTCATAAGGCCAAAGCCGAAGTGTAGTGTCGTTCCGAAGTTTGTTTGAAGGAATTGTTGAGAAATTTCTTGGTGTGTAAAACATTTTCTTGGTGTTTAACAATGTCCGAGTGAGAGTTCTAAGCTATAGATATCGATCCCGGTTTTCTTTTGGCTTTGATTGCGTTCTTTTTCGCTATGACAATTGATCCAAAACATTTTGGTAGGAAGATCAATTCGTCAGATGACTCCTACGTGATAGAACTCGTGTCCTTCGTGTTGAAGTCAATAGGAGTATAGTCTATGCTCTTCATGTTGCTCGTATTTGCGGTTTAAATGGAGTATCCACTCCTACTGGGTTTGACATTTTCGTGGGCAAAGCCATGTACTGGTTGTCTTAGTATGAGACATTACCCAAGTATCTATATTACATCGTGTTTGGCATTCTAAACTTCCTACTGTTTGGTTCTTTGGCTCTAAAAATAACCTTTGATTTTGGATGGGGGAACGTTGATGAGCCAGGTCGACGTTCCCCCATCCAAAATCAAAGGTTATTTTCAAAGCCAAAGAACCAAACAGTAGGAAGTTCAGAATGCCAAACACGATGTAGTATAGATACTTGGGTAATGTCTCATACTGAGACACCCAGTACATGACTTTGCCCACAAACAATGCCAAACCAAGCAGGAGTGGATACTCCATCTGAACCGCAAATACCAGCAACATGAAGAACATAGACTCTACTCCTATTGACTTCAGCAAGGACACAAGTTCTATCACGTAGGAGTCATTTGACGAATTGATCTTCCTACCAAAATGTTTTGGATAATTGTTATAGTGAAAAAGAACGTAATCAAAGCCAAAAGGAAATCGGGATCGATATCCATAGCTTAGAACTCTCACTCAGACATTGTTAAACACCAAGAAAATGTTTTAAACACCAAGAAATTTCTCAACAATTCCTTCAAACAAACTTCGGAACGACACTACACTTCGACTTTGGTCTTATGAAATGTAGAAAGATCAACAAATGTTCCTTGCAACTTCAGCTTCGGCCTTTGAAATGCAGAAAATCAATCTTCAAGCTTTGATACATAAAGAATGGCTTCGGCATTATATTCTTTCGATCTTTATCTACTCACATATGGCATCGGCATTTAATACATCAAGAAAATATATGTGAAGCCCATTAATCTTCTCACTTAGGCATTTAATCAAACACCTGATAGACAAACAACCAGAGAAAAGAACGAATGAACCTGAGAAGATCTACAGCCTTGAGCTTCGAAGAACACCGAGAACTTGCACTCACAGTGGAAACCAATTTTGCACAAAAGAGATGAACACAGCCAGAAATCCTTCCCTCCGCTTCTCTCTCTGCTCCTCACCTCTCTACGAACACTCTCTCTCTTTCTGCTCCTCTCACTATTTTATAGTTTAAAACTAGAAAATATGCCCGCGCATTGCTGCGGGACTTGAATGCACTAGCCTTAACTGCATGAATAAGACGCATTCAACCTGAATAAATTAAACATAAACATAAATGAACAAAGGAATAGATGAGTGAAAGAGGTCGGTAAGATAAGCAGCTTGGTTTTTATATACATTCAACATAGCTGATATGAAAAGACATATTACAATTAACAGGACAAAATTGAACGTTCTTGATTACAAAAGATGTGGTTGCAAAAAATCAGGTTGAGTAAGTGTCAAAATAATTAATTCCTTTATTTTGAGTGAATCCCTTGGCAACTAGTCTAGCTTTGTACTTGCCTATACTTTCATCAAGCTTCAGTTTCTTCCTAAATACCTACTTACAACCAATTGGTGTAGTACCCGATGGTAAATCCGTTAACTCCCAAGTGTTGTTTTGCAAAATAGACTCAACTTCACTATTTATAGCTTCCTTCCAAAATGGAGCATCGACGAAGATCATGGCTTCTTTATATGTTGTCGGATCACCTTCAATTAAAAAGGTATAAAAATCATCACCAAAGTTCTTCTCCACTCTAGGTCTCTTACTTCTTCTAAGTTCTGCTGAAGGCTCTTCTTCATTTGTAACTTGATGGCTAATACTTGTGGAAGCTTTGTCAGTACTAGTGCATGATCTATCTGCCACTTGCCTTTGCATTCTAGTCTTGAAAGGAAATATGTCTTCAAAATATGTTGCATCCTTAGACTCTAATATAGTGTTATTCAAAATTTCATTTATTTCAAAGTTGATGACTAGAAATCTATTGGCACTGCTATTATGAGCAAAACCTAAGAAAACAGTATCCACAGTTTTAGGTCCTATCTTCTTTCTCTTAGGTTCTAGGATTGCAGCTTTAACCAAATACCCCCACACTTTCAAGACTTGAAGATTTGGGGTTCTCTTTTTCCAAATTTCATATGGAGTAGTAGTGTTGTCTTTAATGATTACTCTATTTAATATAAAACATGCAGTCAAAATTGCTTCCCCCACAAATTTTCAGGTAATCCAGAACTCAGAAGCATTGCGTTCACCATGTCCAATAAGGTCCTATTCTTCTTTTTAGCAACTCCATTAGATTGAGGAGAATAGGGTGTTGTTACTTCATGTATAATACCATGCTCTTCACAGAAAACACTAAGATCAGTTAGAGTGTACTCACCATCTTTACCAGACCTAAGTCTCTTTATCCTTTTCTCTAATTGATTTTCCACTTCTGTCTTGTAAATCTTAAATATAACAAATACTTCATCCTTAGTCTTTATCAAATAAATATAACTATACTTCGAACAATCATCTATAAATGTGACAAAATACTTTTTACCAACTCTAGTAGGTGATATGTTTGAGTCACAAACATCACTATGTATAAGCTCTAAAATTTGGGTATTCCTTTCAACGGACTTAAAAGGTTTCTTGGGTTGCTTTGCGTGTACACAAATTTCACACTTGTGCTTGATATTCATGTTTGACTTGGGGACCAGGTTTAAATCTATCATTTTCTTAATTTTGAACAAGTTTACATGTCCTAACCATGCATGACAAACATTACTAGATTCAACATTGAGAACTTTTGGAAGAGTATTGCACTCGGAAGAAACTTAAATAATCCTTCACTAATAAAACCTTTTCCAATAAATACACTATTCTTGGTTATTACAACCTTATTTGAGTCCATTACAACTATATAGCCTTGCTTTACTAAACATGATCCAATAATTAAATTTCTTCTAATATCAGGTACATGTTGCATGTCCTTCAAAGTTAAGACCTTTCCAGATGTCATCTTCAATTCTATCACTCTAATTCCAAGCACTTGAGACATTAAGTCATTCCCTAGAGTTACACGTCTGCCACTTGATTCCTAGAAGGTTTTGAAACATTCACGATCAAAACAAACATGTATATTAGCTCCAAAATCTACCCACCAATCTTTATTTTCATAATAAATTTGACAAAGGAATCATACTTAAAATGTTTTTGAGAAGATTGTTGCTCCATCAGCATATTCAATTGGGTTTTTGGACCATTATGATTTGACTTAGACTTGTTCTGCTCAATCTTCTTGTAGAAGCAATCCTTGGCCATATGGTTGGTCCTTCTGCGAACAAAGCAAACCCCCTTCTCTCTCCTTTGATCCTTAGTCTTCTGGAAGTTCTATTTTGGTTGGGTGATTTGAACTTAAAATTTGTTCTTTTGGATTTGAAATTCTTTTTATTATTTTTGGTGAACTTGTTTTCATTTTTGCCAATTTTGTTGGTGTCATTTTCAACGAAGTGCACAATTGTTTAATTTTCGGTTTCCTTCTTTTGGCTTGACCTATGTTTCTCTTCGACCCTTACTGAATTCATGACTTGAACCAAAAGAAGTTCTCCTTGTTTATACCTTAGGGTTCTAGCAAGTCATTCCAAGATTGAGGGAATTTATCAACAAGGCAGGAGACTTTAAAGTCCTCATTGAACTTTGTTCCTTTCTTTTCAACTCTTCTTAATTGCTCCTGATACTCATGTATTTGTTCCCTCACATACTTGTTATCAACCATCTCATAATCATTAAAGTTTGAGACTGTGAACCTATTCATCCCAGCATCTACAATTCCATATTCCGTTTCTAAAGTTTCCCAAAGTTTTTTGGCGGTGGATCTAGTAGCATGATACTGATTAGAAAGGGCACTTAAGATTATGTTGTGACAATGGTATTCTATTAGTTCAGGAGTTAGTTTAGAAGATGACTCT